TGGTATGGCAAAGATACTCTAAAAATAAAAAAAATACCTTATGAGTTTAAACCTTTAAAATGCTTAAAAAATTATAAAATAATGGTTTGTTATTTAAAGTGTTGAATTGTTTGTTAAGAGTTCAATCAAATAGATGTGACAAAGCTAATTTAGCCTTAACTTTAAGATACTTGGAAGAAGAAAAAAAATAATTTAACACTATAGAAATGAAAAAAACATGTAAGTTACCTAGCAGTTGAGAATAAACAATTTTTGTACGGTACAAAGTTTTATATGGCATGCAGTTTTTTTTGTATGGTACTGGAATATTCAAACTGTTTAATTAGGCCTACACAGTTGAAATAGCACCCCAAAATCTAATCAGTCTTAAGTACACTTCCAATTATGAAGATATTTGAAAATACTTGTTTAATTTTATTTCCATTTAAGTTAATACAAACTATATCTCTCAGGAACTTGACCTTTAACCTTTGTTTACTCCAGATGGTTTAATAGGCATGGCCATAGTAGGTGGAGCAGTGCTGGCTGTTGGAGGAATAATTGGTGCTACTGTGGCTGCCTTTAAGAAGAAACCTAAAAAATAAATTTGACTCAGAAAAGTAGTCTAATGTCCTCATGTAATAATATGAAAAACTGTTCATTTATGTCTACTGAAACAGTGTTGCCTATAATTTAAATAGTACCTGTGCAAACACAAAAGTCTTGTAGGGGTTAAATGTTTTAAAAAAATGGCATGTCAAAAAAAACTGAAGTAATATTTTATTAAAAACTAGCCTTATCTTTTTGGAGAAACTTAGTTTATTACAATTTATAAAAAAAGATCAAAGTAATTTTAATGAAATTTTTTTTATTCCAACTAATTTCATCTTGTTCAGTGATGCACATGTAGATCTTAAACAAAACTATTGGACTGATACAGTTTATTGTTAAAAATAAAGCAAGCCTGGTTTTAGTTTTTGGTGTTCTGTTCAGCATTCAAATAAAAGTGATGAAATAGTTAAATAGTTAGAAAACTATTTTGATATACCCATAATAATTACTGGGACTAACTGAGAGCAAACATGTAGTCGTAATTTTTTAAAATATGAAATTAAACAAAATTTTCAATAATTAACATTCAGTGAAGAAGTATCTTTGTTAATTGACAGAAATAACAAAAATGTCAATAATTAGATTACAGTGAAGAAGTATCTTTGTTCATTGACAGAAATAACAAACATGTCAATAATTAACATATCATACAGTGGAAAAACTATCTTTGTTCATTGACAGAAATGTCAACTTATTAAACTATGTATATAAAGTCTGTAATATAAAGAAAAATGTTGATAGTTTATTACATTATGATGACTAATGAATATTTCAAATAAATTATTAATTTCAACTATAATGTTATTTTAAACTATAAAACTGTTAAAATTTCTAAGACTATTTGGCTGGGGAGATCAGATCTATTATAAAATAATATCCAAGAATCTACACAAAAATATTAGACAATACCATTTTCATTTAAATCCTATTGTATATTGTCATTTTGGACAGAAATGCTTTAAGAAAGTAAAATAGTACCGTAACTTTATTTTTGGTCTACAATTTAGAAAATGTGCGAACAATTTTGGTCAGTCTTGTTCAATTGCAAAAGATTGGTACCTCTGTATATGTACGCATTTATTTCTTTAAAACTATTCCTCAATCATTAAGTTGGGGTTTACTCTGATGTGAACATTTGTCTGATTCCAATAATCTTGCAATCCTTTATCTGTATATATGATGGATGTATATATATATTTTTTAAACATTCAATTTTACTGATTTTCCTCAGATGGTCTGATGGGCATTGCAATAGTTGGTGGGGCTGCACTGGCTCTAGGTGGGATTGTTGGGATCACAATAGCTGCTTTGAAGAAATGAAAGGCGAATCGTGGGATCATGTTACAACTAAGAGGGATTTAAAATTCATTAAAATATAACCCAGCTACAAAAATGCAAGGATCATATTTATAGATTGTGTGAATTTTTCACCTAACTATTCTTAACAGTTTGGCATTAAAAGGTGGTGGAAAATCTATGAAATGGTGCATTTCTTTTTAAAAATGTCCATTTAATAGCATAATTTTTTTTTTTTATGGGAACTTTCAAATTTTACTTGTTATTTGCCCCAATTCTGGTTGCTGTCGAAAATAGGTTGCCTACCATTGTTAAGGAATATTTAGTTTAACAAAGTATATAAAATGTATCTGCTTATATTAGTGCAGAAATGAGGGAAGAGCTGGAATCCCTGTCGAGTAAAACAAATTTTTACTCATCCTTTTCTAAGATATTGCTTTGCCCATTTGAAACTTAATGTACATAATAATATTTAGTTTATTGTCTTTCTGATTAAGAATTTTTTCATTGCATGTATTATTTTTTAGGCCCTTGAGTTTTGAAGTTATTACCTGTACTTTTCTTTTAAAAAGAGTTCAAAACGAATGTGCAGGAAAAATCACAAGACAAAATGAATCATGTTTTTGAAACATTAGATCTGTGAGAGGGGACACATTGGAAAATATGGAGATTGTGAGAAAGGGTTGCATTGGAAAATATGGACATTGTGAGAAAGGGTTGCATTGGAAAATATGGAGATTGTGAGAAAGGGACACATTGGAAAATATGGAGATTGTGAGAAAGGGTTGCATTGGAAAATATGGACATAGTGAGAAAGGGTTGCATTGGAAAATATGCAAATTGTATGTGTGAGTGATTAGTCAGCACTTTTTGTCTTGGTCTACAATTCAAATGGAAGAAATTCTTTTTACAAAAGTTGGAGACTTTCTGTGTTATAAGATTTATAATTATAAGTATTGACTTTTTTTAAAATTATAAACATTTTCCTGATCGACTTCAGTCTTGAATCACCCTGATCTGTTTTATTATTTATTAAGTTATAATTCTTTTACACTGCAGTCAATATGTTTATGAATATTAGATGGTCTAGAATTCTCTTCCTTACAAAACCTCCCAGTTATCGATTTTAATTTTTAATCATATAAATTATTGTTCTGACAAATATTTATTATACAATACCATATAGTTGGTAATAAATAGATGTTTTATTTATTAATGAGTAACAAAAAACTTGAAAGAGTTATTACCATATATGTTATGATATTGGTGTAGACTGAATTAGCTGTCAATGTCAATACTCTCATTTAAAAAAATAAAATAGACTTGATGTTTATTCTGTCAAGACTATGTGCATGACTGTTATACAGTTTTCTTTCAATTTTAAAAATGCTATTTTAAAAGTTTGAATATGTCACAGAATTTCAATTTTGTATTGATTTTATTTAGTCCATCAATAACAAATGGTGCAGAGTAAAAGATATGGGTATCAATTAATAAAGTAGAATTTTTAATATAAAAATGCTTGTGAAGGTTTTTAGTCATTGGTGAAGCAAACATCAAAACTGAACTACTTAATTTATTAAGCGCAAGACAATAATTGTGCACCTGTGAAAATTTGAAAAACCTCTGCCTAACACTCTAAATCCTGGGCACCTGGGTAAAGTTTCCAGAAACAGATACGCAAGCAAACAAAATTCCATGATCATAACATTTTATTTGTTTTCATTTAAATTTGTCTGTTAGTCACAGGGAGAAAAGTTTCTAAGAATCTATGTAGAATAGCATAGTAAAAAGTCTATTTCACAACCCTGATTTTCCTTTTAACCAGGGATAGACTTTGCTTCTTTTTTTCCAAAGCACACATTGCATCAGTTAAGTACCGCTCTAATTGAAGTTAATCGATTGTTACAATCCTTGTCTATTTGCTTCATTAGAATCCTTTTTCAAAACATGATAATCATCCTTGGAGACAAGAAATATTTACATAATCATGAACCTGCTGTGGTTTCAATCTGTTTGAATAGTAATTTTTTGCACCTCTGTATGTTGAAAAACATTCCTAAAACATAACCAAAACAATGCATCTATATGCGCAGCCATTACTGTGAACTCACATGATAAACCCTGAACTCAGTATTTACAACACATTTTTATATACAGATTGTCAATCTATGGTAGGGTATAGGAGACTAAAATATCAGTCTGACGGAGTATGAATGATTAACACACAGACCAATAATGGGGGATTGTGGGTTGAAAGGGTTAATAAATTATAAAATGAAATAAAATAAATTCCACTGAGGTAAAAAAAATAATAAAATGCATTCCTAATATATGTATATTTTAATTTTCTTCTTTCAATACTTTCATGCTTGAACATTAGCAGTTTTTTTTTAATGAAATGAGTCTTTCTTTTGAATACTGGTACACAAAAATTAAATTACATGAGAATAATGTTCAGCATACTTGCTTTTAGATGCCAACTGTTTTTAAATGTATTAATACATTAACAAAAGAATCCTTGATTTTGCAAAAATTGAATTTTAAACCTGCTGAAAATGAAACAAAGAATTAAGATAATTTGAAATACTTTACTGGTTGATAAAAATACATATTAATAATATGAACACATTCATTACATGCTGCCAAGAATGAGATAAATAAAATACTGTACAAAATATAACATGCGTTCAGTTTTAATTTGTTTGAAACAATGCTTTTCATTACAATGAAATTTTTGTCAATCTTTAGATTACCAGTACGGTAATGAAACACAATTGTATAAATATAAACAAAATTTATGCTAATTTACCTACATCAGTACAAAAACATTTTTCTGACTACAAAATAGTTACATATCAGAATACTGTTCAACATACTAGCTTTTGGAACTGTTATAGTTATATTAATTTTAATAAATAGATTCGATACATTGAAAATAATGATTTAATGAATTTATCTTTTCTATAGAATAATTGAAGCGCAATTAAATTTTAGCTATATTCATGAAACCTTTAGAATAATTAATAATTGCTTTGAAATTATGGAAAAAAAAAAAAAAAAAGCAACCTGTTTTATTACCATTCCTAAGGTCAAAATATAGATCATAAGAATGCACCTCTTTTTCTTCCTTGGGTCAAGTAACAATAATTTTTCATTCTTTGCAATCAAACTTGTTCTGCTTCTACATTAAAAAACATGAGAAAACTACTAAAATATTTACACTGAATCTAGTAGATTTGATACCCATTAAATTCCACAATCATTTCTGGTTGAGTTTTATTAGCTGTTCACTGTAATAGGATAGCCAGTCTTTTATATTTTTAGCTGAAAAAATTGAAAAATTATGTCAATTAAGAAGACAGAAATCTAAATTGTGTAATTCAAAGTAAATTGTCACCTTGTGAAATTGACCATGCCAAACTACTCCTGGTCAAGTCCACTCATCAGTTGGGAATACAAGTCTAATAATTAAAATTAATTTTGACAACTGATAAAGGTTGTAAAAATTTTTCAGAGATTAAAAGTACGGTAATGAAACAATTTTTTTTATTTACTATTCTTTTATAATTCAATTTCAACAAATTTATATTTTACAAAATCTTAATTATATTTCTCTGTGTGAGTTTCGATTTTTCAAAGGAAGTTTTGGTAATTCTAAAAATTTCATCAAATTATGTTAGTAACATAATGTTTAGTTCTATTGCTATTTTATTAGTGGTTACCTCCAAGCCTTGAAATGTTCCCATCTGACATTTGCTTTAGTACCTCATCCAGTGTGCTTTGTAATGCACTGGCATCTGCTATGTTTTGGTTTAACTGTGCATTAGCATATTTTACCTGAAACATTATTACAGGTAACAATAAATAAGATAGTTTAAGACTCATTTCCTCAGTCCTGAGGTAGATAATAATATTAAGGACAAATGTAAATAAAAAGTAAAAATATATGGATGCTATTATCCAAACATCTGTTCAGAGCAATTTAATGACTGATTATTTCAGTAACATTACAAACAGATAATTTTGGTCCCAAAGAATTTTAATAATTTTTCTTCTTCATAATATTCATACTTACAATTTTTTAAAACAACAACTAATTCTGAATTAACTAAATATGAATTATTAAGAGAATAATGTTTTAAAATAGCTCTGATCATCATTACTTACAGCAATAATTTTTTTCTTCAACTCATTTTTTTTATCTTCTATTTGATCGTAACTGTCTGCACTACTATGTAAAATCTGGCATTTGTCTTCTGGCAATACAACATTCTCAGGAATGGTAAACACTCGTTCCAGTAAGTAGCTCTATCCAAAACAAAATTTACATTATTTATATCCATTACAATGATTGTAGTTATTAATTACACACATTAAATGTGTTATTATCTTGTCAACGCTAGTTAAAAAACAAAAAAAAAAGTGACATACAGCATTGAATTTTAATCACTTTCATTTCATAATTTAAAAAAAAATTTAAACAAAAACTGTTAACTTATCATTAACTTATCATTGATATGATTTGAATTTATGGGATAAAGATTGTACACATAATGTTGCAGCTGCATCTGGAACAGCACTAGCACAAGTCACACATGTCAACTTATCTTATAACGGTACCAACAAAAGTGTGCCATCAGACTTTCTAGTGTCACTGAGCTTAAAGTTAAATTTCTTCATGGCATTAAATATTATATGATTATAAGACATATAAAACAAACCTCTAAATTGTCAAACATGGCGCTGATGTCATGGTCAATAAGCTGACTGACAGAATGTCGGGCTTGTCTCAACTGCTCATCACTCATTACACCTGGGAACTATTTAATCATATTAACATCAATATCTAATGCTGTTGTTTTCTGCTAGTACTGTTAAGTACCATATATTAAAAGGCTTAACTCATAACATAGGTAATTATTTTAATGCATTTGTTTCCTTCAAATAAAGTTTTATAATGTGCAATAAATGTAGGCTAATAATCTTAACATTAAACATTGATTTGTTGATTAGTCACTCTCTTTTGAATAAATTTAGCTTACCTGCTGGCTGCAGGTAGTGCAAAAAGCCTTGAGTCCTTCTCTGTACAGGTCACAAATGGCATTAAACACTAACAAGAGGTGACATTAAGATTGACATTAATTTTTTTTTTTTTTTTAAATGTCCATTTTCAGGTCACATTAATAATTTTTTAAATCATTACTGATGTTTAGAATTTACAAATAAAAAGAGAATAAACGTTTAAACAAATAATTTTTTCAAGTTAAATCAGATTTAGTTCTGTAAGTGGAATCTAAATGTAAAATGACAAAATAAATATTTGTTGTTTTGATAATAACTGTAAAAAATACTACCAATTTTTAAATAACTTACTTCCATTTAGCAGTGTAATTGGTGTGAAACCAAAATGCTGGGTCTCATATTCATAATTGTTCACAACATCTTTGTCGGAACCTCTGGTGTCCACTGTCTTAGAAGTCTCAGTCACTTTCTCTTGATTCTCCATATTACGCCTGAATAAGGAGTCTAAATAATGTAAATTTATTTTATTTTCACAATCAGAATGGTGTATTTAAAACGGATGATGAACTAATTGCATTCTTTGACATTGAGACAAATGTAAAAACAGCCTGAATACTCTCCCCTTTTCTGTTCCAGTTTACTGTGAATCTCTTTATGAAAAGGGCAATGGTGACACTAAGAGTGGGCATACCATGTAGATATCAGGCTCAGTTCAACAGCCTTGAATTCACATATATGTAATCTTGTTTTCAAACATAACAACCAAACTAGAAGTAGAAGGCTGGTCAAGTGCAATGGCTGATTTTTACCCCCTCCCTCCCCCCCTTCTCACAAATAAATGACAAAAAGTTTAGACCACCCCCCCCCCATTTTTCCCCCCCCCCCCCCCCCCTTTCAAAAAAAAAATAAAAAAAATTTTAACCCCCCCCCCCCCCCTCAAATATAAAATCACAAATCTCTGCACACCACAACCCACCCCACCCCCATTAAAATTGCATGTGTCCACTACTGTCCTTTACAAAGCCTTAAGAAATTCATCTCCCATAGATATTAAATTACTGCACCTGTTTCAGAAACATTTCATTAACATTAAAACTGTTTCTTAACCAGGGGTAAAGGTACCTCCCAAGCCCTGAGGTGGGGAAGACCAGAAAACTGTATTTGCTGCCATTGCTAGTTGTTGCTTTAAAAAAAAAATCAGTTTTTGTGCATTTTTATTAACAGCAGTAATTGTTTTTATGGTGAATTTTGTTTGCACATTACTTGTATTGATATTTATTTCCCTTGTTTATAAAAAGTTCATTAAATAAATAAAACTATGATAACTAAATTATTTAATTATTTTAAAAATGTTATTACAATATAATTTATACGGTTGGGGGGGGGATGGTTTAAAACGTAGTGGGCTTGCAGCATTGCAAAAAAGGTTAAGAATCCCTGTCCTAGAGCATTTACTAAGATATCCCCCCCCCCCTAACCGGTCAACCATTTTTTTCATTCCACCCAACTTCACATAGTAGTCTTAATTTTATGACTCTGGTCTCCACATTTAGCCATTAATTCTCACGACTGTCATTGTAACTAATCCTGATTCTCCTCCTCCTCCTGGGTGTCCTGTAACTTGATGAGATGCCATTTTTTGGATCTCCCATACCTGTACTGATTCTTTCAGTGATCGTAGTTTAAAAATGAAATAATCATCATAATAAAAGAATGTTAAAAATTATGTCTTTAATTTAGGGTTATTAAATGCAATTCTTTACTACAATATTCCGCTTTTCATATGAGGTCACATTGCTTAAGCCCCCCACCCCCCCTCATCACAAAAATGTGAACCCCTCCCTCCCTTTTAGACCCATGACGTCATTTATGGATGGCCCCTATCATCAGTCAAGGCCTATTAATTATCATTGCAATTAAGTTTAAGGCTTTAAGTTTAAGGTCCTTGCCGTTGCCTTAAGTTTTGTTAGAGTTAGATATTAATAAATTAATTCTAACAAATATTATTATAAAATTAGAAAGTTTATGATCATTAACTTTAAGTCTTACTGATCTCAGTAAGAAAGACAAATTGACATATCATTGACAGGAGTCAGCAGTCAGTTCAGTTTCAGTGATCACTGACAGTGACAGTCTTGTTAAGTCTCAGAAAATCCTGGGAATAATTTTGTTTTTTTCGAGTTGAGACAGTGATGGCATTTATCATACTAATAATAATAATAAAGTTTATTTGAAAAACACGCTTCATCCCCAAAAGCTCGAAGCTATTAATATTGGTCAATAGTTGTCATTATATACCTTCTCCACAGTTGTCGTTAGATGTTTATTATGGATTTTTAAATGCAAGTTTTTTCTTAATAAGCAAAATTGTTTAAAAACAGAGCGCCATGGTTTATATTATTTTCGAACACAGAAGAATTCCAAGGGCAATGTACTCTATTAAAAAAAAAAAATTAATTGATTATTATAGCCCTTTAATCTTTACGTTTGTAGCGTAGCCTACATAAAGGTGTTGAAAGTTAAAGGCAGCTAAAACCCCTAAAAGTGTCACTTTTAGCCCCCCCCCCCCCACCAAAAAAAAAAAACAACAAAAAAACAACAACAACACCATGATATTACCTTTAATCTTTACCTTTATAGCGTAGCCTACATTAGGTTGTTGAAAGTAAAAGGCAGCCAAAACCCCTAAAAGTGTCCCTTTTAGCCCCCCCCCCCCCACCAAAAAAAAAAAACAACAAAAAAACAACAACAACACCATGATATTACAAAAATAAAGAATCAAAAAGTATATTCATTTCCTAACACAATGATTCAATGATATATATTTTTAAAAAATCATAACGAAAGATAATTTAAGGAGTCAATTTTAATTTAGTAAATGACGTGGCTATACTATACGCACCCGGGTATCAGAAGTGAGAGGTTGGGATTAAAAACTATTTAAAATATTATTGTTGGGTTTGTAAGATCCGGGTACGCATAGCCGCTATTGGGACTCGGGTCCCTTTAGACGAAATGCCATTCGGATGCCACTTGTGGTACTTAATTTTAGTTAAACTGAAGAATTAAGTTTACAAACATGTAGTCCATTCAATTATCTTTCATTTGATACCTCATTTTGTCTTACAATAGTACAATCGAAAATAAAAATGGTATGCTTTATATATGAATATGATTTGATTCATAGTGTTCTAAGTGGGGCGTCTAAGTAGGGCCCACGCAGGGATGGCCTGATGGTTGCTGGCGGCCTGTGCAAGCTTAACTTTAGCACCCCTTAAAAGTATAATCATTAAAGAAAAAACCTAGTTGTTCCGTAATGAGTTTATTACCCATTTTGATTTAAAAAAAACAAAAAACAATGAACTAGTTTTTTCCTTTCATGATTTTTCTTATAAGGGGCGTCAAAGTTAAGCCTTTTGTAAACTTTCGCCCTATGCTAGGCACCCTTGGGCACCCCATTCCCTGTCCCTGTATGGCTCCACTCTTTTTCCGATTACGACATACATTTTCTTCTTTGTGCTTGCGATTTTGCACCCCTGAAAGCTTTTTGTTCCCCAGATTCTTTCTGCTGAAATAATCGTAAGAGGGACAAGGAAAGGAGGTTTTAATAAATTAATTTTCATGCCCTTTCAGTTGGTCCCAACCCGATTGTTAGTATCCAAATAAAGAATGCAACTTTCATCGTATGAAATCTCATTGTATGAAAAGCGATTGTACGAAAAGTTAGAATACTGTTTCTTGACCCCGGACCCAAGGTTCATACTTCACTATAATAAACTAAGGGAATTTAAATTTTTACTGGGCGCCCCTATGGCCACGGCGCCCTGTGTGAGGGCACAGGTCGCACACCCTAAAGGCTGGCTCTGGCCCACTATCAATGTATTGATCCTAAAATTGAAAGTGATGTTTAACTTTATGTTGTGATGGATGTATTCTGACAGAATCTATCACCTTTTTATAAATTTATTTGAACAATTATTTAGTTCGAAAGTGTGAAGTACTTGTGTGTGTGGGGGGGGGGGGGGGGGGGTCCGGGATTTTTGACGCTGAAAGCGGGGTACAAATTGTAAAAGAAAGCTTGAAATGCTTAATTATTGGCGTCTAATGCAATGAAATTAAATAATAAATTTGCCTAATTTTTATCTCATACTAATATCATTACTTTTTTTAATTAAAAAAGTAATGATATTAGTATGAAATAAAAATTTAATAAACAAATGTTTACTTCTATAATGATTAAAGGTGCTTTTTTTATCAAAGATAAGTAAATAGTTATCAACAGTTTGCATCATGTACATTATAATCAAATATTATCAATGTTTATTAATTAATTAATTAATAATTAGGATCAAAATTGTATTATTTGAACCCAACATTTTAAAATTTATCAACATATGGGCTATTTACGTGAAGTTTGAAGATATGTTTTTGTTTTCGGTTATTAGAGTAGTATCATTTCTTTCTCGGTAACGCCTACTTGTTCTGGATGTTTACCTAATAATAAATGATCTAATATTATAAGAAAGAACCGAAGGTCGTATTATAAACAGCTTAATTTTAATAAACACCATGTTACTTATTTTTGAAGATTCACAAAAAGATCATCTGTCGTTCTTAGCAGATTTAGATGCCGAAGGTATGTAAGCTGTAAATTAAAAATTAGAATAACGGTAGCCGGTAGTACTGTACCACTAATTAGTCAGTGCCTACGCTACACAAATGGAGTTTAAAAAAAAAAAAAATTAGTTTTCTTAAATACCGTGCCGGTACTATTATTTAATACTTACATATTAGCCAGACTGGCAAATGTTGGTTTAAAGGGAGAGAATCCTACACTGAAACTCAAAGAGGCTTTGTACTTTGTTAAAGAGGCGCTAGGAACCAATATTAATATTATATTAGCCGTAATAGTAATTAAGTTAATTCGCTCCTCGGTCCTCAGAACAGTGGTCCCAAATGTCAAATGGAATACTAATAATAATAATACTATTCCTTAGAAAGTGTTTGGCTACCAGCGTAATAGCCGCCGATAATTGGTGATGTATTTGTTTACGTCCAATGCCCTATTTAATTTAATTTTATGCATTTTTTTGAAGATCACGATCTTTATCAGCCTCTTTATCATCATCATCTCCTGAAAGAAATGAAATCTCTTGTTGAATCTACTTCCATGAGCCCACGTTCTGGAACCAGCTCCCCTTCCATATCCATCATTGTGAAACCTCGTCCACTTTTAAAAAGTCCCTTAAAACCCATCTGTTTAGGTCCGCCTATGACCTGTGATGCACCCTCCTTGCCCTGCCTCATTTTCTGTCTCGGGTTAATCCTGTAATATAGGCCAAAACATGCCAAAGTGTCCTCGTTTTATAGCCATTTTAATTGTTTCTATGGTATAGTAGTTACTATCCTAATGTCTCATTTTTATTTTAGTTAGTTTACATGTTTTTAATAATTGTAAAGCGCTTAGAGCTTTAAGGTAAGCGCTATATAAAAATGCCTAAATAAATAAATAAATTGCTGTTTCTTTGAGATGGTGTTCAGCAAGCCACACTAACCAAAACATGCTGCCTACAATGCCTATGAACTGGCGCTTGTGGCCTTCCGGCCATGGTATTGTTTATTTTAAATTATTACATGCAATAATTAGTCTGCAAAAAAAATTATGTCACCAATTCTTGGCAGCTATTACGGTGGTAGCAGGACACTTTCTCACAAAAATTATTCTATTTTTAATTTGGCACCGCCATTCTGAGGATTGCCATAATTAATACCTAATATAGTTAAAATGTTAGATATAGCCTAATATTTTTTGGCTAATTTAAATTTAATAATATTTCATTGTCTTTTTTTTCATTACACTCATTAGTCATGTCATAAGGTTAAAGGCACTACAACTAAATTCTACGGGAATTGATCGATCCAGGCTAAGCCTAGTTGCAATACCCTTTTACTCAAATATTGGTGGATTTAAAAGTAGTAATATCCAATCCAATCGGGGCAAGTCTAGAATGTCCAGAAATTTCAATAATTAAAAAGGCTAAATCTATGGCATTTGAACCCTCTCTGATCTGTGGGCCCAGAGTGTTATGGCGAAAAAGACGAAAGGCTGATTTATCGGCCCAATAACAAAAGACTTGAGATTGGCTCGCTGTTCTTGCTACAAGCTAATCAGATTGCTTCTCACATTTCTTGCTCATCTAGACATGTAAATGGCGGCTTCAATTGATATTTTAAAGTGTTCTGTCATTTTATATAAAAAATATTTGTACCTAGTGACATCTTTAAATGCTTTAAAATATGTAACCTTGAAATATGCCAAAAAACATAACAGCCCCAGGGGAATATTTTATGCAGTTTTTCAAATTGAATCTAATTCAGATATGGGTAAAGGCTTATTTAGGCTTCAACAATCATAAAATTTAACAAATTCTGCAAGTAAGACACTTTTATTCAAAATGTGAAGAAAACAAATTGCATGCATAAATTATGCAAATAAGGGTGCCTCATTTGCAAAAATGTTGAGATTTCAGTTAGATTCATAAATATTTTATTTGTTTATCAATTTCCTACAAGAATATATATAGTAAAGTAATTAGTTTATTTAAAAAAAATTATTTTGCTTGTGAAAAGGGCTCCATCATTTTGGCACAGTCCAAAAAAGCCCCATCTCAAGAGGGTTATGCCAATTTTAATGGAACAGCCTTTTAATTTTAACTCCATTATTTATTTGGCATAGGACCCTCTTTCTTAGGCATAACTAAAGCAGTATGTTATGGAATGGGCCCCCACTTGAGAACAGGATCCCCCTGGGAATGTGATCCCACTGAGGAATAGGATACCACTCGGGAGTGGGATCCAACCAGGAAACAGGGTCCCTCCTGGTCATGGGATCCCACCAGGTAACTGGATCATAACAGGAATGGATCCCAACAGGAAATGGAACCAAACTGGCATGTGATCCAACTGGGGAACATGATCTACCAGGGAATGGAATCCCAATGGGGAATGGGATCCAATTGGGAGATAAAAGTTACAAAAGTTTTTATAAATGGGTTTTTTATATGAGATAATTTTTAATTGATATTTTTTCTTTAGCGACATGTTTCTTACAGGACCCTGAATTTCGATGTTAACTAACAGGATGTAGAAGTTTGGCTAGTTATTTCTAAAAATTCTTAACCTGGGCTGCCCTTAACCATCAGGTGTTATGTGAGTCAGTGGGTGCTGGAAGACCCAGAAAATCAGGTTTATTTGTATTTTTATTAGGTAGTCTTTTTGCTGTTGAAGTTTGGAAAATATGTTTTGATATCGAGATGCGAATGCAGGAAATGTTTTGAAATCAAGAGGGGGGTGCGGGGCGATACAAAAAGGTTAAGAATCCCTGATTTAAATAATTAGGCATATATTTTTATTTCTTCATAATATTTTACTTTTAAGGTGACCAACTGTACTATTTTTACCAGTATTGGAAGTAAAGCTGTTACTAGTGTTACTCTTTTGTTGTTTTTTTTACCTTGATCCTTGTAAGTGGTGAGCTGTTACAATTACAGTTTAAGACTACAATATCAAAAACAATTAATTTATACAAAGATTGAGTTCATCTGATTTCCAGTTTAAACAAAAATATTTATGTTTCAGTTTTGAAAGAATTTGGCAAGATTTCTCTGAATTTTATTCGTAAAGGAGCCAACACAAAGATTTTCCAAGGAGCAGCTCGTAAGTGAATAATGAGCTATTATCCTTTTTAAAAAAAACATCTCACACTCTGATTTTCATTAAATCAGTGAGTAGTATATTTTAGACCAGCCTGTAAATTTATTTCTTTATTTTGATTTTTTTTCTCCTGTGTAGATATTCTATAGGATCATCATTAATGTTTTCAAATAAATGGTTTAACTTCTCAATTTTTACAAGTAATTACAACAAATTAAAATTCTGTTCATGATGGGTGATGTAGAGAACTTAAATTTTTCTGTTATATGAAATTTTGAATGTTAACACATTTAATTAACTGGTAATAACTTATTGAGGCTTTACTATTACATTAAAATTTATAGTTCTAGCAAGGAAAAAATATGCATGTTATTAACATTTTAGTTGGGAACAAAGAACATCACTTTAAATAACACCATTTGCTTGTAGCCATTGTTTTTAATGACAGAAAAGCTGGGAGTACCAGTTGACACAGTCCAGCATGGGGTAGAGGCTCTGATGTATCTCTTGACTGAAAGCTCAAAATATTTGGTAATTTAAGTCCTTACAGTAAATCTTGAATTTAGTAAAGATTTGGCCAGTATTTCTTTACAAAATTAACTTGTTTGGCCATGGTAAAATATTAACGAAAGACCAGTTTAAACTTTTGTTTTACGGTAGAGAATTCTATATTCTTTGGTTAAAAGTGTCAGCTATGTTTTTAAATATAAAACCGCTGATGCCTAAAAGTTAACTTAGTAGGGTACATCCAAATTTTTAATGCATGGATGACAAATCTACAACGTTGCTTCTACTTCTATTACAAAAAGGTTGAATGACACTGGCTGTCAAGGTCAGTATTGGTCTTAATAAAATTAAGAAACATCAGCTACAGGATGAAATGAGTTCCCCAATATCAAAAGAAAACTGATATATCCATGGTCTTTTTTTCTTCCTGCATCAAAATTGAATGCTGTTTTCAAATTGTCCACCTTACAAAGTGTCTAACATTTACTGTCAGAGAGATGCTATATCTGCCCAAGGATAATGAAGTAAATCTCAAAAGATTTATGAGATGATAAAATTGAGTGGTTACTTAACTTTCATTATGAATTTTATCTAATAATAATAATGATTTCTCTTCCTGATGAGGACCCCTGTAATTATCAGACCTTTCCTGGGGCTTGTTCTGTCAGTGGGTGCACAGATGCATTCAGTAAAAATCACCTCTACATGCATAGGAGCCAGAATGATCAATAAATTGATCGTGGGCCCTTGATATGTTGAAAAAGAAGACTCCTTGCTGTTCATTTAGCTATTGATGTATCATATTAGATTTTGAAGAAGTTCTTGGATTTTTGAAGTGATAATCATAGAATTTTTGGGCTATCGAGCTTACAAAAATAAATGCAAATTAGTTGTATAAAAATAAAAGTACTGGTAAATCTGAAAGAAAAGTGTCTGGATATAGCTGGAGATTTAAACAATAAAGATCTTAACAATATTTATTTCATGCTTTTTGTCTTATAGTTAAAGTGTTGTTGAAATTTTGCTTCTAAACTAAGAACAAAAAAATGGATTCTTTTAATTACAGTTACAGTATAATATATTTTTTTAGTATTAAAAAAAAATGAAAATTTTCTCTCATTTAAAAATTTCTCTAATTTAAATAGTTAAATGAGATTGACTTTCAAGACTCCATCATGACGTTGGGATTCGGGGACGAGACAAGATCTTCATTACTGGCACTTTATTTGGAACACCGTAGAGAAATCAGAGACATTTTAAATGAAATGAGTTTAGACCTTCCACACTACCACAATCTTGAGTGGAGATTTGATGTTCAGGTGAGCATATCATAAAAAAGCAATGATATATTACGGTACATGATGAATAATTAAATATTTGCTGTACAATGTTTTGAAACCAAACCTTGAAGTAACTAAACTAAGGAGATATTAATTTGATGATAAAATTTGTGCATTTACCTAGTTTTTATTTAGAAAAAATAGCTGTGAGTGAAAATCTTAAATCCATGGCTTGCCCTATTCAGAGCCATCAGGTGACCTTTCGAGGCCCTCTGCCACTTTTCCGTTTTGTGCCACCTGCATTAAAGGTTAATATTTTATATTTGTCCACATCACAGATTTGAGCCCCTTAACTTTAACAATCAGATGCCCTCTGCAGCCACAGGGGTATGAGTGCCAACGCGACGGCTCTGTCCTATTTCAAGTGCCCATGTTATTTTTTTAGGTTTGGTTTGGATATTACCTGCTTGGGACCTTAATAGGTGCAGAACATTCCTGAAAAATGTTCAATCTCATCCTACCCAACTGGTCTTCTCTTTGGGTGTAGTGGTTTGCTCCATCAGTTGTTGACTTTATCATGTACCAAAGTCCCTTGCTACTACTGGGCAGTGATTCTTGCTTGACCAGGATGTTGTTGATGTGCATGTGACTTGTGTCTCAGTCCTTGCATCACTACATACCAATGACCAGGATGTTGTTGACATGCATGTGAATTGTTTCACAGTCCTTGCATCACTGCATACCAAATTTAAAAAAGATTTGATAATTTTAAAAACTATCTTTCAGCTTGCCAGCAGATCTCTACGTCATCAAGTGAGTCCATCCATACTGATGAAACTGCAGACGATGGATGGAGACAAGAAAGAGATGAAAATGCTCCAAACTGATCCGGTCAACCTGGTACACATCACTAGGGTGCTGGAGGAAGCTTTGCAAGAAATGAAGTCGGGATATTGTAGGAGGATCACTCGAAATATAAAATAAAGATATTTCATTTTGTTAAATTAACGTACCCAGCCGGTGACTTCGAGCTTCGCTCGCTCATTTCATGCAGTCACAGCATGTTGTAGATCATCACTTGTTGTAAAACATATTCTGACACGCAACACACAGATTGAGAAACTTTGTATTAGATTTAAAGCAGTTGAAGAAAGATTATTTTTTTTAAGTCAGTATGTAAGTTAATGTATAAATCAATATCATTATGTTATGTGAGTTAATGTATGACTTGATAAATCAATATCATTTGATTTATTTTCACTGCTAAAAACATGTTTGGAAGAATTGTTTATGAATGAATGGCTTAGCTGAGGGACAAATATAAGGACAACAATGTAAAAATGTGGGGTTTGGTTTAACAGATGGATTGAAAAATAAAGTTTGCTTGTTAGAAGTCATTAAAAATTGGTATATTTAAATTGTGAAATATGAGATTGGATAAATTAACATTGAAATTAATGAGTTTAGTTTTTCTGCTTCAATTTTAAATTAAAAATTATGTATGTGTTGCAAACATATGAAAAATATGCATGCCACCAGGATATATACTTACATGTTGAACTGGGATTTATAAATAATAAGTTTAGCTCATTAAAGATTATCGCATTCACTCTTGTGGATCACTCTTGTTGAAATCCTTCCTGAAATAAGTGGCCCACACTTTGCTTCATTAAGAGATTTATTCTTACTCTCATACGATCTATCCCACACATTCCCCTCCCCCCCCAGAACAAACTGATTTATCCACACTCTCACACTCCCTCTCCC